GGAGCGATTTTGAGAATTAGTAGCAAACTAAAATTTAGTTCTAACTAGTCATAGCTAAAGACATTAACGATTAAAAACATAAATAAATTAAAGGGGGTGACACAAAAGTGTCAAATATCGATTTGGGGGTTTTGTCACAAGTATAAGCAAAAACAGTAAAAATAACAAAGAAATCTATGAATGAAGAGGGGGAATTTCTTGGGATGTGATCAGAACATGGGATAAACAAGATTGTTGGGTACATGCTTTTGATAGAAAACTTATAGAGTAATTTTGATTAGGCTAAGCTTTAAATGGAAATAAGCTCTCTCTCGAGCAACTTACCCCGTTTCAAATGGGTTCCTCTCGGACACCCACTTGCCGCATGAAGATCAGCCTACGCCTTACCCCATTAACTCTCTCGAGCTAAGTGTTAGGATATGGGACTAGGGTTCACTTTCTTGAGCTGAACCTCATGTTGACCCACTTCTTAGGCCATCAATTTAGTAGTTTTGGTTTCGCGACTTCTATCTCGAGCGAGCCGTAACCCATGAGTGAACTTGTATTTGCAACTACAAATCCATTAGATTCATCCACAACTACTAAACGGAATCAAAATTAAACTACATTTAAACTATCAGCAAGCAAGACCCAACAACTAATCTGACCCATATTCACAAAATCACACCCCAAGAATTGGGGTTTTTAGCCACACATCACGAGATATAAATTTATACCTAAATGATGTTGCATTGAAATGGGTATGAAGATTTAAGTCTCAATTTAGGTCAAGAATGAAGAATCCAAGAGACCCACTCCCAAATTGAAAGAGATGAAACCCTTTTCTTCTTCTTCTTTTGAAAACCCTCTCAAACTTGAGAGTAAAATATATTTGATAGTAGTAATTAATATTCGATGATAGTAATTTTTTTTATATCTAAAATAAAAGCTACAACTAGTGTTTATAGTTTTCAGAAAATAGTGCTGCGGTGGATCACTCGGTGAAGTTAGTCGGAATCACCGATCAAGTCGGCGATTCACCTTTTGGTGCAGTTCATCGCCTTTCGTCCTTGCCTACAACATCTTCGCGTCCTGGACCATTAAGAGATATAATACTGCTTTGTGGAACTGTTCGGCGACATGCCGACTGCTCCTCTTCACCGCCGATTTGATCCTTTTCTTCAGGGCTCAGCACACTGGAACAAAAGGCGAGGTAAGACCCTTCGGCGACTCGTCAAGTGGACTCGGCGATGCTCAGCCCTTCATTCTTCAGTCTCTTTAGCCTTTTTGTTCCTTTTTGCGACATAGTGTCCAAGATCTCTTTAAATCTTCAAATACCTGAAAATTAAGAGTTTTCATCAGATATTGATATAAAAGAAGCATTTGAGGACACTAATTCTATTAAAATATGGCCCTAAATGTGTCCAATTTGTGGACTCATCAGCCGCCACCTCACAACCATGCCGAACATCACCACTACTGTCCTTTTTATTGTGCTTTATCGAACAACAGTTTTATAAATAATATTTTCTTCATTTCAATTCTTGTGTCATACTTTTCTTTTATAGTCCACTTTAAAAAGAATATTCCTTTCTGTTTTTGAACAACTTTTTAAATTTTAATTTTCCACGTGACATGTTTAATACCACAACCTACTAACGCAAGTTCTACATATCCAACTAATACTAGATTAAAGGTTGCTCCCTCATTCAATTTCTCTCATTACTAAAACTTGAAATAGATTTTTCCCAATCTACATGTTGGCCAGTTGCTCCATAATATATACATGAAAAAAAAATATGATTTTTCAGAAATCATAGTCCTTAACTAAAATGTTGAAATCGGATTTACTTGCTATTTAACTTAGGTGTTACTTGTATTTAATTTGAGTCGGCCTATAATACTTTGGAACAAGCTGTTGCCATTTGCAATAATTTAGCTCTCAATTAAAGATGAATACAATTCTGTTCCAAAGTATTGAATGTGCCCTTACACTTCCACAATAATCACACTTATATAGGCTAGCTAGTAAAATAAATTACATATTTGTTCCAATTTATGTGATACATTTGGTTTTTGAGAATCAAACAATTTAAGTTTGACCGAGAATTTGTTTATGGAATCTTTAATTTTTAAAATGAAAAATTTACCGTTAAAGATAGACTTATTTGAATTTCGAAATTCGAAATGTGTCACATAATCTAATCTATTTTTCTTTTTAGTCTGTTTTTTTAAAGAAAATGATCCCTTTTCTCTTTTGACAACAGTTTAATTACATTCAATTTTTCACATGACATGTTAATTGCGACAAGATTAAAGGACATCTTTGTATACTTGACATTACAGTCAGCATAAATATGATTACCACAAGTTCAATCATATCAATAATGGATGGTTTAGTCATCCCATGATCAATGCATCATGAAATCACACAACAATACGTAAAATGTGCACACATTCAAAATAATTGGTCAAAATTTGTAGATCTATTATTGATAATCTTAGACATTATATTTCTATAAAAATTGTTAATTATTATATATATTAATTACCAAAAATAAATATAATTGTTATAAATGCAGGGATAATTTTATAAATAGTATATTTAATTTGTTATAAAGACGGTTGTTGTTTTTATAGGTAAAAAAATTATTATAGAGATAAAATATAACATAAAAAATCAGTCTGAGAAAAAACTTAATTGTTATAGTTAGATGGTTGTTATATTCTGACTATAATATCATTAAGGACTCATTTAGTACGAATGATAAAAAATAACAAATCTCAGAATTAATTTTTGGATGAAGTTATTCCATATTAGTTGAGATAAAATTACAGAATAACTAATCACAAAATAATTATCCTAAAATTATAATGTTATTTTTATTTATCATTGAAGATGGAATAACTAATTCCCAAATAACAATCAAACGAGCCCTTAAAATAGAACATATATATCCTTCAGATCCAAAAATACCATACATGTGATGGGTTTGAATAGGTGTGAACACACTTGTTCAGAATAGACTCATATGCTTAGAATATACATGGTGCCTTTTGGGAAAGGAACATGTCCTTTCAAAAAGTATTCCCGCTGTTTTTTTAATTAATTAATTATGAAAATTAATTAAGAAATAATTATATGAATTAATATTAGGAAAAAAAAAATTAATTAATGAGAATGATAAATAAATTTTGTCTATCCCATCATTTGTCAATGCAAAGGGAACGAGGGACACTCTCTTCTTAACCTTTTAAGAATTAAATGAAGTGTTTTTTAATATTATTTTCCCTTTATTCTATCGATGAGACGAAAAATAACTTTTCATTTGTTTTTTCATATTTTTCAATTCACATTTAGCCCACTTTTTTCAGTTCACACTTTACACACATAATCCAACAACATGCACATATAATATATGATATTATCCTATCAAAAATATTAGAACGTGTTGCCCTTTTCTTCTGCGTGACACAACACGTTCTAAGAGTATTTTGCGGAATTAGCAATCTTTATAAGATATATATATATAT